TTTTGAGGGAGGAGTACTGCACAAAACCACTGGTTCAGGTTTACAGGGAACACGTAACTACATAAAGAGACAATGTGCAAATTATGTCAGATAGCTGTCTTCCGAGATATTGAGCTATGTGTCCTGGTAGAAGTTTATCGAGGTTTCTCAGGTGCTGGCTGCTTGTATCATCAGGGTGATGATGATGATAGAGGCAGCAAGCACCTCTGAAACATCAATAAACTTCTACCAGGACACATAGCTCAAAATCCCAGAAGATAAATCATCTTTATACCTGCTGCCATGAGAATATTAAATCTCGCCTATTCTACTGAATACTCAAGAAGGAAACAATGAATAAGGTCAACAGGGCTTTATAATTCGAATGCACAAAAAAGGGCAAAAAATCCTTTTTTACTGGATGTCTACAATAACCTGCAGGTAGAATAAATAGTGAAGTTCAAAACACTGAGCATAAAAACAAAATTACACCACCACAATACATCACACTACACACAGCCACATTAAAAAGAATAAAACACTGGTGGTAGAATACAACAGCATACTCACTTAAGAGGCTTTTATTTTTGTTACTTAATCCAAAGAAAGATGAATGGAGAATGTTAAAATATTAAAGGATTATTTGAGGATTTATTCATATATTTTATTACGTATCAACTTAATCTGAGTAGCAGCAGCAGCTGCGTGAAGACAGAGTCAGATGGAGAGGCATGGTTGATGACTTACCTGAAGTGGATTATCTTAGCAGGAGAATGAAGAAGAAAGTCTCAACTTGCTGGTGGTATGTAGCACAGAATCGTAGGAGTGATAAGATAGGACAAACAAGAAGACACTGGACAACCATCAGGATTAGGATGAGGTACCTACTGAACATGAGTGTCTGACGTGTTATTGTTGAGCTAACTTATGCTTGAAAACAAACCTAAATGCTTCTGGCTAACTATGATATCATATACATGAAGGTTCTAGTAGGAATCAGACTATGCGGTAGGTACGGAACACAGGGTATAACTGAATTGCTGCTGTACATCACCACCATTCAAATAACTTCCACTGATTTGCAAAAAATAAAAAATAAATGTATATGTAAAATAAAGAACAATTATGCTCCATCATGTATCGGCAAACCTGTGCCGTAGTGGCAGTAATGGGAGAGTTGGTGGCAAGTTGCGCGGTGGCAATACTGCCTCCTGCCCCCCCGCTGCCACCTGCACCCGAGTTCTGTGTGGCGGTCTGAAGTTTGTGGCTGTGTAACTTTAGCACCGTGCCCACCGTGGTCGCTCCGCCACTGCCAGATCCTCCGACACTGTTTCCACCTCCTGTTCCGCCACCTCCTCCCATCACTCCAGAATTTGCTGCAGCTGCTGCATTTGCTTTCTCGTCCTCTTCGTTGAAAGCCGGGAGCAGATCTTCTCTCCCGTGGTACTTGTAGCAATTTATGACAATTTGTCGAAGAGCGTGAGTCCATGATATCTGCAAGTTACGGCACTGAATCTCACATATACTAATTCACTGTCTTGCATACAGAAGCACATTATTTTAATAACACAAATCAGAAAGAAATTAAACCTTCAAATGTGTAGTAAAGAAATGCAATCCTTGAGAAGTATCAATGAACAATTAACAGGAACATCTTTTAAAAGTCTGTATGTACTGTCAGATGGACATTCTACTCTAAAATAAATTTTAATTACAGTGAAGTTTACATTTGAAAGGTTTCTGGGGGGAAACATCTGGAAACTAAACTTATGGGAAGCTTGTATGACACTAATACAGCAATAAAAATACTACTAGATACTGTAGGAAAAAATTTGCATACAAGATGCCCCATTCTTGGGCTGTCCAATGACAGAGATAAACAATAACATTTATAGTAAATAACAAAACATCCTTTACACATTCAAGATGTATAATGATTTTAAATACACAAACACATACCGAGTTAAAGAGTTATATTTACCTTCTGCTTCTCCTCTTCAGTACGGGCATCCATTCTTACATTTGCCCACGGCAATTCTTTCGGCCACCACGGAGGTCGAGTGGATTCCCGTCCCCACCCCGGCTTCCCTCTCCCCGTTGAATACTTAAGCATTAATGGTATAAAAGCTCGAAGTTGCGCCTGCGTCATCTTCTCCACTGGGGTTGGTATACCATCAATGATAAGAGGTGGCAATTCATACAGTGACGGATCATCTTGAACTGGTGGGGGGGCCTGCTGCGCTAATGCATTTTCCAGTTCTTCCATTATCATTGAGCGGATGTTTTTCATCTATATATGACAGAAAATTGTAAATTTCAATGCATGGCAAATTCCTCTTGATAGATGGGGTACTGCTATTGTTGTTTTTGTTGTTGTTACTGCAGCGACGGGATGACTGTCTCTACGGAACTGCAGCTGTTAATGGGCCGTACATAGACACACACCATTCAACCCACTCTGAGATCTACTTCTCTAAACTGACCTCTTCACTTCAGGCTTCCCAACAAAAACATAGTTCTGATTTCTCTGATATCCATCTCATTTACAATATATTTTTTAAACATTACTATCAATTATAACACAGGCAACTCTCATTATACACACTTTTACCATCCACATTTCTGCATACAGAGTTTTATTTTAATATCATGAAGAGCATCAATACCCTACCTGCAGATATGGCAGAAGCTGCTGCACAGACCCACTGTGTTGTCCACAAGGTTTTCAAGGACTACAAATTAAGGACTCTCGTGATGAAACACTCCGAAAAACCATGGGCATGTTTCCATTTCCATTTTATGAACTTTTTTATATATGCAGTGATTCGCGGGAACACAACCCCCACATATAATGAGAGCCGCCTGTATTTGAAAAAGCAGCTTACCACATCTTCCAGAGGTTTTGCACCAAAAACTTTGAAACTGTTCTGTGGTTTCCCTGGTGTTGCTACAACAACTACGGCCTGCTGTCCAACTCGAGTTGCAAATTCATCAATTGTTAGCTAAAAATAACAAAAGCAAATCTTGTCAACTTGCACGGCAATACTCTAATGAGTAGAATACTCTCATATGACAAAGGAAATGTAATAAAAGAATGGTTTTGGATTATAAAATTAATTATACATACCTTTAGTGAGTAATAATGCAACACATTCTAATACGAAATGTGAGACACATACAGTCAGTTCTGCTACAATGTGACACTTGAAAAATACCACATTGCAGAAAAAACTGTTTGATGAGTAAGCATGTACATTTACATGCAAATATAAGTGTGCCAAATAATGTATGCAGATACAAGACAAACATTCTCAGACTCTGCTTTGGCCATGATATGCAAACACTCAAATATACTTGGTTTAAGGTACGTGTATTTGGTTATTCAGTGCAGGTAATACAAGGCAGTACACTCCCTGAATTTCCCAAGTATTAAATAATAAAAAAAAATATCATCCATTTCTTCTGCAACTATAATGCTAAGAAGGAAAAGCAGGAATATAACCACTGGACAGTCTTATGAAATATCTTTATCGCTTGTAATTGTGTGATGAATAATGTGTGTTGTGTATCCAATTTGAACACGTTTCTTGAAATTTTAAACCAGAAGAATCTTAATTCCTTTATGTCTGGCTGATATAAATCACATGGTTGTATAATATATTTTATTGTAACACACACAAAAAAAATATATAAAAGACAAAATATGAACCCAATTCTTCCAGCAATAACTTAGTAATTATTCTAATGTACTTACTCTTAATTTCCTAAGTAACCTATTCTGCTGACGTTTCCTAATGGACGGGTTGGTCTCAAATGAGTGAGGGCGTTTCCTCTTTTTTGCGGAGACAATTGCGGCTGCGGCGGCTACACCTACTGGACCTATGTTTGTTAACAAATATAACAACGTAAAATAGCAATACAACCGTAAGACACTTCACTGGTAGGAAAAATATGTACTGCAGACTGCTCAATGTTCATACAGCACATGATAATACAACAGACCTCAATAAAGTATGGATCATGATCTTCTGTACAGTGACAATGTGTAGACTTGTAGATGGTTACCAGTGTTTCAGAGGAACATACCACCTCCATCCTTGGGCCACCCATACAGAAGACAACAACCCACTGCCATGAAAACCTGAAATCGCGTACTGAATGAAGTATTCTGCCTAGGGAGAGAGTCACCTCATATTACACGTACAGCGCATCACCCATCAACAATTAACTGAACCATCACAGAAGACAAGACCACTACTACACAGTTCCAAGTTTTACCAGTTAAAGGACAACAAAGAAGTGCAGAAAAATGGTGTGAAATGCGCATATTAGCTTATTTGTGTAGCCTACACAGCTTTCCTTTCCATTTCAAAATATAGCATACTGTATACAGAAATTCTAAATGTAAAAAACAAATATGGAAACAAATGTACGTGTAATCCAAATATATATTATTTGATTGTACGAGGTGCGTCCTCAAAGTAAGTTTCCCTGGGGCCGTTTACAGAAACAAAACATAATTTCATGGAAATATTTATTGCAACAGATACAGCAAGTGTCCAGCTATTTTTCAACATATTCGCCACCGGAATTGAGACATTCAAAAACCATGGGACGGATTTGAATGAAATTTTGTATGGTCATTATTTGAGTAATTATTTGAGAAATAAGTGCAGCAGGTACTGTAAACGTTCTGATAATATCCCAGGTGGAATTTTTTTACCTTGCCATTTACGTCATGAAATACGAAGTAGAGAGAATGAAATTAAGATGTAAATTTTTTTAATTTCCAGGCAAACGTATGGCGATAGGTTATGCAGATGGCTCACTTAAAATATTTGACACAAAGACTGCGACAGTATTACACCACGTACCTCAAGGACAAGCTCACACTGGTACAATTACTGACATGGACTGCCATCCTGATAACAACTTGCTTATCTCTAGTAGTGTGGATGGACATGCTGTTGTGCTCAAAACTCAAACTGGAAAGGTTAGTAGGCCTGTATTATTCTGACAGGAACTCTGAAGTACGAGGCTCGTCCTTAAAGTAAGTTTCCCTGGGGCCGTTTACCGAAACAAAACACAATTTCATGGAAATATTTATTGCAACAGATACAGCAAGTGTCCAGCTATTTTTCAACGTATTCGCCACCGGAATTGAGACATTTGTCATACCGTGGGACCAACTTTTAATACCTGTGTCGTAGAAGTCTGCCGCCTGGGATTGGAACCACTGTGTGACAGCCATCTCCGCCTCTCTGTCATTCTCAAAACGCTGACGCTGACGCTGACCGGACAGGAATTTCTTGAGGTGTAGGAAAAGATGGAAATCACTGGGAGCGAGGTCCGGGCTGTAGGGTGGATGATTAAACACCTCCCAGCTGAACTCCTGCAGGAGACTTGCTGTCCGTCGAGCCGTGTGCGGCCTAGCGTTATCACTGACCGCACTTCACAGTCGGCGGGAGCTGGAATAAGAAACTCCATCTTCAACGATGCTACTGTGAGAACGCGGGAAGTACCGTTAGTGCATGCGCCATGCTACGTCATTGCTCTATCACGTACGCACAGTCGCTTCGCGCAATATAAGGTTTTCTAGCTGTGGGAAACTTACTTTTGGGACGCGCCTCGTATTTTAAAAACATGGTCTTTCATTGACATCAAAATAGGTAATGTCACTGGAATGACAGATGTTCTACTGCTGTCAGTATGTGCCAACAGACAAATGACATGCTGGCATAAGTACTCTTGATTGTGTTACCTTCTGCGCAAACAAGAAAGAAGTTGATGTAACCAACTTTCTCATATCTGAAGCCCATACTCCTGGATTTATTATTATCAAGTAATGTAATAGTAGGCTGCAAATGACTTGGTTGCTAACTGCAAAAGAGTGGAAAAATATGACTAACAATTTTTGGACAAATGGCATAATAACCATATGCCACTTTATTTATGGCTACCAATTAAGAATTTAAAAAAAATATTCACAGTTGAAAATAAATCGACTACAAGTAAATAAAGTGTCTAATTAAACATTTTGTCACAAGAAATACCAACCAATTTATTTGCAAATTAACATTTACAGAACCTTCCACAGAAAAAAAAACTAAGCTTTACACCCATGCAGTCCAACCCCAGCGCTATATATGAAAATACAGCATAGACCAGTGAAATCTCAATAAATTCAGTAACACTAAGCAGTTCTGTAGAAAACAAAGAACATCATGAAGCATCGGCCTCAAACTTCACCATTTCCACATCTGATCACCAGGGCTCAACGACTATCCTTAATAAAGCACGATGACGACTAATGAGAGACAGTATTACAAGACATAACTGCACTAAAATCTGTTGACCCCTGTAAATCACAAATTCATGCCATTAGTAGAAAAGCCAAAAAGTTTGTTAGTGCAACACCAAACCACAGAGAGAACAAGAGCTAAACAAAGAACACTTAACAATACAGATATTACGTATTCTTGTCACTCTCTGCCTCTGAACTTAGTGGACAGATACAAATACACACGTTGGTGGCTAGCAAGTCAATATATGGGGAGGGTGGGTAAGCAAGATCACTCCCCCTTGCCCTTTCCATCTTCCCTTCCCCTCAACGACGGAGCTCAAGTTCACAGATATTTTGTGCCTGAACCCCTTCAGCATATTTTTGGTATGGAATGTTCCTCCAAATGTGTTTCACACAATACGCAATGTACAGTCAATTAAGTCAACCTGTTGCCCATTTCAAGTAATACACTAATATGTGGTGCCGTCAGCCCAGTATTAATGGTACAATTCAACTTACATAAGATTTTATTAAGTTTTACTATGTTACAAGGGCAGGGTCTTTCAATGTTACTACCTTAAGAGGAGCAAAGGATTGAATTTATGTAACCTGTCACCAGATTCAGGTTTGCAGAACACACTATAATTTAAGTGCAGTATAAGAATATATCCAAATAACAGGATAAAAATATTTGTATTAATTTTACTAGCAGAACTACTGACATCTAAAGTATTGGGTAAACAGAAAGAGAATAAGTAACTGGTTACAATACTGTAAATTTTTGTCTCCCAACCCAATCAAAAAGAAACAAATAAGTGATGGCAGAACTGCCTATTACAAATTTTCCCATACAAAAGAACTACAGAAAATTAAAACTATGAAGTCATGCTCCCCCATCATGGCCAAAACTTCACTTCAAGTTTACAGTGTCACCATTCGGTACTTAATATCACTTAAGAATATTTCACAGCAAAATTTTGGACACGCTGCTGACGGCCAAAATTTTGGACAAATTGCTGACCTCATACAACAAATTTCACATAAAAGGGAGATCAGTTACCATCACAAAATCAAATAATAACAGCATGACTGCCACATCAGACCCTAATTTAGATTAAAAATAACCTCAACAAAAGATGCATATTATTAAGAATTCTAGCATCACTCTCATTTCAGAATAACTGATACCATGTCAAAACACTGCAGAGCCGTAATGTTGGAAAAGCTTAAGGCTGAGGGTCTATATTTTCACCCCTTTTACTTCTGAGATGTAATAATTCCTTCTAATAATATGCTTTTGTTGGGACTTATAAAAAAACCCATCACAATCCAACACATTTTATTACAATAGATATTAAAACAGCAACTCAGAATGATAATACGGTACAAATTTGATTTTTTTAACTGCACACATGCATCTAAAGTTTTATTAGCAACTATTGAATTATGAACAAAAAAAATCTGCACAACAAAGCAATTAAAAATGATAACATAAAACAAATTTTAAGAAACAAAGCAATTAAGTGAAATGAGAAGAGCAAAATTAACTTCAACTGCAAAACATGGAACCAAGGAAAAACTCTGGAGTCATGTATAAATATTGGTCAAGCTTCAGTAAAGCAAACACGTTAACCCTTTGATAAATACGAACTTAGATTTTTGTTTACAAGAAAGTGGTACTCGGCTTGGGGAATGTTATCATCCTGACTGGAGTTACTTGTGGCTTTCCTCAGTCCTTCCAGGCAAATACCAGAAAAGTACCTTAAATCAGTCCATGACCACTTCCATCTACATTCTTTCCAATTCATTAATCACTATCACACACTCTTTTGACACTGTATAGTCTGCGGTACTGAAAAGGCATCGTTAAATAAATTATAAATAAATATGAAAGTGGGCTGAATATGTGCACACTCTGAATTTGCTTCAAGCTGTGTCATACGTGCAACTGCTTGTCACTGTTGTTCTTTTTGGTGGTGGCGCCATGTGCGCTCACAGATACCAGAATTTCAGAGAAACATACCGTCTCCATCTTCAGAGCTGAAGGTAATGAAAATGAAATATAAGAATGTCAGTACTAGGAAAGTGGCAAAATGCATACCAACTCTGATGAAGGTAACAACTCTCATTAATAACAATAATGAGTTGTTAACTGTATTTGATATTATGTTTACAGTTACTGTACAGTAAAATGTGTCTGTGTGAACAAGAGGGGGTGGGGGTCCCTTGCTGTAGTCTTAAATATGCCAAAGAATCAAAGGGTTAACCTTAAAAGCCATAATGGATTTTAATCAAACATATTCATTCACTCAAGGTTCAGTTTATCAAAGCTTAACTCGTATCACATTTCTCGGACATACCAACCCTGTTTCACCTTCACTAAATCTTTCACATTGCATCACTAATTTAACCTCAGACCCTGGTATACTTTTAACACCCCAAATATCCATGATCCATTTTAATATCATCATGTTCACTTCAGGCCATAAAAAATCTTCGTTGGTGTATAAAGGCTAAAGATGGCTGTCTTCTGGGATGATGTACCGTGTAGTCCGGTACAAGAGCACTGATGTTTCAGAGGTCCTTGCAGCCTCCATCATTAGGCAATGGTTCATGACTCTTATGACAATGGAGGCTGAAAGCACCTCTGAAATGTTGGTAAACTTCTACCAGACTATGTGGCGCTATATCCCAAAAGACAACCATCTTTGTACTCATTGCCATGAGAACCTAATATCCCATTAAAGACATGGCTGTTTCACTAGTCTCATATCATACATTCTTTGCAAATATTCCAACCAACAGGCTCCACATTCTTATTCTTACATTCTATATATATCCAATTCTATCCAATCTTGTCCATCCCTTGATCGATCCACCTTGATCATATGTTATATTGCAGTCCGAATAGTTAAAATGTTTATTCTGATTTAAGAGTAATCATCAATTATTATTTTAGTTCCTTTAAATTACATTATCTTCATCTTCTGTGAGGGTATGTTTGAACTGCATGATTTAAATAAACATTTTATTTCTATTTTAACATAAAACTATCTATGGTTCATCATCCAGGCTGTTTGTTCCTTTGAAGTTTCCCCTAGTAAATTTTGTGGGCATCTTGTAATTTTAACCAAATGTGTAAAAATTCTGCCCACCTCATTTGTCTTCATGTAATCACCATAATAATAATAGGTAAACAGCACAATCTGTAACCTCACAAACTTCCCCATTCTTCTAAATCTTCATCCATCTTAGGTTCAAACATTGAACTTAGCTCTTTCTCAGATCTCAAACTCTGTTATTCCATCAGGGAGTCACTTCTTTTCAAACTTTTAATGAAATAAACTATACAAAGGTAAAACAGGGCTAGTATTAAAACCTTAAAATAGTGATAAATAAATACACTAACCCCCATAAAATAAAGCAAAAACAAAGCAAAGTGAAATCACCATGTTCTTTTTGCCAACCTGCAGCAGCGAGTTGGGCAGTCACTTCATCGCCCATTGCCGCCGCCATAAGGTCTCCTCCGTCATCAAATTGGGCTGATCCTGGCGATGAGGGGCACCCATCGTCATCGTCCGACACCATGTGATTCATTGATGTGCTACTTGTGCCAACTGCAATTGCTAGTGCTTCACCACTAGACGTATTCATTATGGTAACCATTAGTGCCTACGGGAGATGTATGAAACGATATAAACATGATGTGCTCTATTTCAAAACTGGTGATAAATATAATGAAATAAATACTGACAGATTGAGCAAATGCAATATTATACGAGTTTCTAGCAAGTAAAATAACTGTAAACTGTCAGATAATGCTGTAACTAGTTGAAAGCAGAAGTCCCTTATATGTGCAAATTATTTCACCCAGATACACTATGTGTACAAACATGCACTACAATAGTATACAGCATTCTATATACTTTCAGCAGTGACTATAAGAAAACTGTACAAAATCAATTAATCATAATAAACCCTAGAAACAATCTTTATACCTTGAATTAATCTGGCTTCAGTACTCTAAATATCCATTTCAGTGATTCTGTCTAAGTCTTGGGTCTATGAATTTTAATAATAAACTCTTGCTGGAGAACTCTAGCCGACATGTGTACCTGAAACAGTGAGAGTAAATTCTTAACTTCATACTGGTGCTTTTAGCAATATTAATATTAAATTTATGTTAAAATTCAATTCATACTTTTGAGGCAAATGAAGATAGTACACAGTTAAATTTACACATTAAGAATTATCATGATTCAAATATGGATGTCCCAGGGCTTCAATAAAACCCTAGATCATTTCAATAGTGTATTTTTTATTAATTTTAATGCAGCTAGTTTAAAAAGTTAATTATCATCAGTAAAAATAAATTCAGGATCTTTTGCATATACAGAGCCAAAGTGGGCATCTTAACAATTTATGGTGGAATATTATCTTAGGATCTTTAAAATAGAAACTGATGAGAGTAAAGTTCTTCCCTTATGTTTGAAAATTTCACTCTCTATCTTCATGCAACCAAAAATCAACAGACTCAAATACAGCATGTGCAATAATTAAAAAAATGTGTTGGTATTGCTGTAACTGAAATGTTTCATGCACATGGCATTATTTTACAAGGGGTCTACCACTTTCCAACCAATTCGATAAAAATTAAAATTAAATACTGAACTATGGAAGAGACATTGGAGCTGTTGTACAGCTGGTTTAAGAATGAAGAGAGCTGCTTTTTATATTGCTTCATCATCCACCTGATATAAGGCGTTTTACTTCAACTAACTGGTATCTCTTCAAACGATGTCATTCAGAAAATCAATAATTTGGAAACCACCCACTAGCAAGGAACTATGGGATCAGTGCAGTCTGTATATCTCAATAAATGCACTTACGCGGTTGTTAGTACTAGGTTAATATCAGACATTATACTTAATTCAAATCACATAAATTACTTCAATTTTGTGGACTGTAAAACAGCATCACCGTAAATTTTATTAGGGAGAGGGGTGATTTGGTCTACATTAGAGGGTGCTAAGCCGAAGAACTATTGGAATATGGCCACCCTCAATACCATGAACAAATTTAAGCCAATGCCAAATATGACCTAACACTGCACAGGCTTACATGATGGGTACGTGTCGACTGACGCATAAATAACATTGCGGTTTAAGAAAAATACTAAAAGTAATCGACGGCAGCAAGAAAAGCGCGGTACAACACTGAGCAGGCCCAGTTAAAATTCAGAGACTACGGCTGCGTACGCACCTGCGTGAAGGGAGGGCCATTTCAACACGAAAACATGTCTCTGATTGATGTTCCACAAGAATCGTGACCACTGCAGACACTCTGGACATCTATTTCACCTTAGAACTGTTCAACGACAACACCAGGTTAGGAAAACACTTCTAGCTAAAAAATCCTGCGAACATCTATGAATATCGATCGAATCCTTACTTTCCAAGGAAATGCACAACAAAATATTCGCGGTCGCCATTTTGCCCGAGTCTGCGCGGAAGATACTTTAGCAGACGATGCAAATTTGCTATGTATATCGTCTCTTTCAGAAGTATTCGTGTAAGAAAACACATTCTTCAACATAACAGCTAACATAAAACACATACAAGCTAATACGTATGCTTACCTCGATACCACATCAGTGAACATTTACTGACTCATCGATTCATCTCCTTCATGTCTATAAAAAATGTCGCTTCGTGATTGGTGAGAAAATGAGTACTCCTGACATCTAGTTTCAAAATAGGGTACTTTTTCCGATCCGCAACCCCGCCTACAGAAAGGAAATAGGATTCCAACAAAATTTGAATACTGTAGGTGGTAACGGCATTTGTTTCAAATTAAATATTCTTAGAAATAATGGCAAAGATATATTCAGAAAATATTATTTTTATAAACACTGATCCATATGAACTTAAAGCCATATATGTATATTTAATTGCAGTAGCTAATGACATTAAACAAATAATGACTACCAAACAGTATCATCACAACACTGTTCTGCCTGTTGATACAGAGTGGTGCTTTAACCACAAAATACATGGCTACATGCATTTATTTAATGGCTTCTTGTGAAACCTTAGTTTCTTTTTTCCAGTACCAAGCTTATAAAATATAATCTGCCAGCAATATTCTTTAGCACCAGAATCTTCTATTAGCAAGTTTGGTAATAAACACTGTGGAAGACAACAAAAAATTTAAAACAGATCTGTTCATTCTGCCAATTTTTCTCTCATGTGTACAACAGATCTTGTTCAGTTCTTTACAAAAACATGTACAAAGTCTAGTTAAAAGATTTTTAAGGCAGCACATAATACTACATATTACCAATGGGCATCCCTGCTTATTTCATCCCTGTGTTTGAAAGTGTTTTATGTGGAATTACCAAGTTTATTAAATTTATTAAAGATCCTGATGGATGTATTCACCCTTCAACACATCACAGAATGATCATTCCAACTTGCTCATTTTGTGACAGATGTGAACAATTTCAAACATATGAACAATATAAAAAAAAAGTTTCTATGGGTACTGGGGATGAATACAAATACTTACCCCAAGATTAAGGATGTGTACCTTTACCTCCACACCCCTATATGTTTTCATGTCATTGTATACTATGATATACATATATGGTCAACTTAATAAAGATGGAATGGTGATGAAAAAATGCAATAAAAATATCATCACACATAAACATGTGGTCATCACTCACACGTGTGTGCTGGATGGAAATTTCACTTAAAACCTCAGGAATCTAGATTACTGGCACCATGATCCTACAAGACCCATGATTCATTCCTTGACATAGCATTAGAATTATTTTATAAAGAGACAAATTGGTCTTCGTAAGTGCTTAAATTTGGAGAGTCTAAAATACCATCTAACAGAAAACTTTGCATTTTATAATTTGAGATACATAATTATAATTATGAAGCCTTGAATACTAACACAATGGTACTATTAAACTGTACAAAATATATGTCTGACATATGGTAAAACTTGGTCATAAATAACAATAATATGTTGATTTCATGAAAATGTCACATATCACAATTATAAATATGTCCCTGTTGTTATATTATTCCCTGATTTTCAGTAAATGTATTGAATAGCATTCGATGTAAAAATACATCCCCTCCTGTCTGTAATATTAGAAACTCAAAGATAGATTGTGATAAGGACTTTACTTTTGGTTATTACACTGATATAAAAAAATTATTGGCAATTGTTTAATGATTCTGGTACGTGATAGGGGAAGGAGAATGATATGGAAAGGAAATAACTTCAACAGATATTCATCTAGAATTTGAGGATCCATTAGAGAGCCGGCTCCTAATTTTTACAATCAAAGTCATAAGTGCACAGTATAAGCACTGATCAACCAGACTAGTACTGATATGGTAACAAATCTAGTGGCCATGACATAATATAATGCACTGATCGTCTAGAGCATGAATTCTAAACCTGCAGCCTGTGTATACTTATGTACTACTGTATCATTCTGTATGATGAAAAAATTATTATTGCCTAACTCAAATATTTAATTTTTAGTTACTACAAAGTTTAATGAACAAATTTGTCAAAAAGTGCATTAAAATGTTAACATATTTGTGATTATAAATTGGTAAATTTTTTTAGAAGTTGTAATGAAATATTAATAAATTGTCCTTGTTTATAACCTGGGGGTCCACAAGTTGATAAGAAAGGAATGTGGCCCCCAGCATGACAAGGTTGCATTTATTGATACACAAATCACTTCAACCTATAGTTCTAATCCCAGTGTAAGTGACTGGCTGTTATTTTAGAGGTTAGTGGCACTATGTATTCACTTATACTATAAAAAGCATCCATGTATCCACTGTCTTCCTTTGTGGTAAGGCACAACATTTAAAACAAGTAAACTCGTTTTAATATGGTCCTTTATATTCAGTTAGGCATCAGTTTAACTGAATTTAGTAGCACAATGATAAAAAAAAAAATTACGGTGTCTATTTTACTGAAAATAATCATGAAAGAAATTGACAACAGCTTTGTGAGAAATGCCTATTTCACTATGATAATTCACATGCATTTTCATTATGATGTGAAATAAGATTAATATTGTCAAAATTCTGTCATTCTGAGTTGTAAAGAAATGGCATTTTTTCATTTACATTTTGTCAAGGAATTGTTTATATTTGATCAGTGATGCCAACATAAAACAGACTGAATCGAACACACTGTGTGAACTTTCCTGTTTGGACAACCTATTTCATTGGATCTGTCACACACATGCATTGGTACACTGGTAAAATGTCAGGTACCTGTATTCTCCTGTTAAGTAAATAGTTTGAAGTGCATCTTTCTCAAATGGAAGTACTAGGATTAGATGGATTTTCCTTTTAAATGCACAATGAAGTGTGACTATAGACCTTCATCAATTCTGCACATAATGCACATTGTACTACTTCATGGATGTTAACTTCAGAATATGACCATGTTAACGTCGAACTCTGCTTCTATTGCGAATTTGTGGGACTTCTGAAAACAAATAAATTACAATAAATCAACCATTCTTATATTTTACAAAAGTAAAGCTACATGAAAACATGACAGTAAATTACAAATGGCTCTAAATAAAGACAATATATGTCTATGTCTACTTCCTACAAATTATGGGCCATGTCCTCATGTCTTTGATTTAGGTATGAACCTGTTCAGTAACAAGATAAATTCTGAGTGGAGTCACCTAAGAGGCACACTCTGTTATGCCTCCTCCCCAAATTAATCTTGCTTCATGGCACAAAATGTTCAAGCCTTCAAAGAAGTATGCTGCAACAATTAATTATTTGGGTCATGACGCCATGATGAAGCACACATTTTTACTGAAATTTTGGAGGCATTTTTAAATCCTCATTCTGAGGGACTTCTGGTGCATGATGATCAAAACAAAATGATTTCATGTGTCAAGAAGTATAAACCTGAGAAAATTACCTCACAATGTTGTGAATAAATTGAATAAGCAGATAACGACTCACTGTAAATAACCAGCATACTATGAAAAGTTACTGAGGGCCTTCAAATTGATGAGCTTTTATCAACATGGTAACAAACCCTTGAATTAAATACAAGACAGGGAATTTTTTGATTACCTGAGGGACTATCGAGTTGTCAACAATGATTCAGTTCCATGTAGTTAGTGAGCTTGTAGGTTAGGTTTGTGCCAGTACAGGGTACTCATATTCCTGTGATAACTCACCACTGTCCCATGCCAAGGTTACAAATACAGCTTGTAGGTTAGGTTAGTCTGAGAGATAGTTTCACCTTTGACAGCTTGTTTCTAGTCACTTACTTTGATGGCATAACTTCCCATACCATCCTGGATCACAGAGACATGTGTTGTCAGGCCTGCATGTTCCATGTCGGCAGGGTTTTGTGCACAGACTCCTTGCAGGTACACGTCGTCCGATCTCACAGTGATCTCCCTTAAAGCCATTTGGACAACGACACTTATTTACTCCACGGCAGCGTCCACCATTCAGACATGGAATTATACACTTGGCTGTAATATAAACAAAGAGTCTGCTAATATTTTTGACCCCAAGAGGGCCCACTTACCTGAGTAAACACATAAAACCAGCCTGTGAATCAGTGGTCTACCATTAACAAGCGTTCTGTCTGTCTGTAGGTATGATATCTGTAGACAGATTAATGATGATGCAGATAATAAGGTTAATTTTCATGGAATTATCATCATTATTGTTATTACAATATTCACGCTGATGAATGTTCACCAAATATCACAGTTGAGTAATTAAAACTCGTGCTTCATATTCAGTAAGTCCCATTTTGAATCTTGACCTCAATACTGACTATCCTGACTGAAGTATGTCATTGTTTTAATAAACCCAGGAACAAGTATATATCAACTGTTAGATTACTGAATGATGTTTCAACTGCAGCAGTTATTGAGTCATGTGAGATGGATGGACATGATCATTACACATAAAAACACTTACAGAATTCACAGCGTAGTCCATAATAGCCCTTTGAGCATTCACAGGTGTCCTTTTGTATGCATTTACCTCCATTCAGACATTTTTCAGCACATATTCCTGAAAACAAATATTATTTTCTTTTTAAATTCAACTGTCTTCATTTTTCTCAAAGTATAGCTACTCTGCTTGCAGTATAATGTGGAAGAAACTGTTGAGGTCTTTATTAGCTTCCTTGCAATTCTGATTGGTTACTGACTATGGTGTAAGTCTTATTTTTAGTTTAAATTTGATTTTGTTTCAGTGTTCTTGTTCTTGTTAGCAGGCAATGCATCGAGCAATGCTCATTAAAGCACCTGTAGTGCCTAGTGGAGTGAGGTATGTCAGTAGGAGTTCACGAGAAATAGAAAGCATGATCAGGGTAAACCACGCTGGAGAACTAGGAGCTGACCGTATCTATGCTGGACAAATGGCTGTGCTCGGTATGTGGTTCTGATTATTTTGTGTGTGCGCACTCTGACATGGTTCAAAACGTTAAGTTTTTATTAAATAAATAAACAAAATTTAATTAACAATTTAGGAAATCAGTCTAGTTCTTTTCATTGCATGATATCTGTTGGTTAGTTCTATATGGGCTCAATAAATGCCAGTTTCCTAAAAAATCAGAAAGGCAAAGCAGAAGGAATGATGTCTGAATGCGAGACATAATTTCAGCAAATCAGATCTGATAATTAATTTAGTTCATGTCTTCAGCAAAAACCGCCATCACACAGAATATAGCCTTAAGTCATAAATACAGTACAGCCAAGGATGGCTCCACCCTCAGTGGATCTTGTGAATGCTACTTGCAGGTCGAACGAGTGTGGGTCCCCTCATCCAGCACATGTGGGAGCAGGAGAAAGAACACAAAGCGAAGTTCGAAGACTTGATTAACAACTACCGGGTCCGACCTACTGCCCTGGTTCCAATCTGGAACGTTGCTGGCTTTGTCCTTGGTGCAGGTCTGTTAACTAAGCCATCACTTCCACCAAATAAAATAAAATAAAATATTCTTGCTAGTGAATATCCATAAAGAAACGAACATGGGTGAGCAAATTATCAGTCTTCTGGATCATGATCTTCTTAGATGTTACAATATACGGTTACCACCTACATGACCACATGACATAACAACCCAGAAGACCGTTATTGAGAACCTCACTGCCATCAGAATGTGAAATCTCAGTCTGTCAGTGCTAGGGAAATATTAGGACTTCCAAACTTCTGTGTCCCAAAACAGGATACATGGTAAATCCTATAATTATAATTACAATAAAATCTTTATAATGACATATATTTAGCGGCTCAAAACAGTAACTTAAATTACTTAAATAAAAAAAATTATGATTCAGTTACAAACCATGTCAAACCACAGCCAGGAACCTGAGATTCCAATCAGAGACCTTCTGAATAAAAGTCCAGATAATTACTGCACCACCAACTTATTTTCAGAGATAACACAGTGATCAAACTACTTTATTCTCAATTCACTTTTCTCAGAAATCTCTTTTGTAATGTTTATGAACTCTACTTGTAGTTCTTAGACAACCTGTAATTGTAGCAAAACAGACTTGGCAGCGAGAGTATTAAAATTAGATTCATTAGATTACTTTTACTGTACTTCATCTTTCCTGAGCTGGTGTTTCAATCCTTGCAGGATCTGCCCTACTTGGCCCAAAGGCTGCCATGGCTTGTACTGTGGCAGTAGAATCGGTCATCGTAGATCACTATAATGACCAGATTCGAACTTTAATGTCTGACCAAGAGGCTAATAAGGAGCTGCTGCAAGTCATCCAGAAGTTCCGTGACGACGAGCAAGAACATCATGACGCGGGACTCGGACACGGTGCAGAACAAACGCCTTTTTACAAAATTTTCACTGAAGGCATAAAACTTGGCTGTAAAGCAGCCATTGCTATATCAAAAGTTGTATGAACAAATAATTCTTAAAGCAACGATCTTCCAAACGTGTAGAATTCTTATAGTTTATGGTCAAAACAGCACTGTTACTGAATGTTAAACTTAACATGTTATAATATAAGTGTCTCTTTTGCAAATCATATCACCGTAACTTGTCATTTGTAAAGATGTGATAAAGTTGACCCTGGTGCTTATGCATCACTCCATGACAGCATATGGGAAGTGGATGTATGGCTCCAAACATTCTTAAGATTTTTACTGGATGGAGTGAGTGGTTAGCTTCATGCTGTGGCTGCTTTGTCCATGAGAGAAGAACCTCAGTACCCACTGGATGGGCTTGGTAGACCCCAGAGCCAGTCAGAATGCAGAGGCCCAAAGAAAAATCCCTTGCCCCTGTCAGGGATCAAACCCTGAATACCCAGTCCATAGTGAGACACTATGCTGACTGAGTTACACTTATATGCATTCTTAATCTAAAAGCAGCAGTTTTCCACCGTCGTTTACCTCCCTCACAGTGCCTTCCTTGAAAGCCGATCACGCAACTGCACACCCCAGGAGCAGTACAGCTGCCCCCATTCATGCACTGTGGATAACACAAAGCAGTCTTGCAGTACTGTCCCATGTAGCCCTCAGGACACTGGCAGATCTTCTCATAGTTACACCAGCCGCCATTGGCACATTTCTTATCACACTCTGGATCTGGGCCTTTGAAAGAGTACACACAATATACTTTCTGAAAATGAACAATGGTTACTAAATCTGTACTGATTCAGTTTTTTTTTCTTTTGTAATGAAGTCATTTCAACTATTGGTGAATATTTCTAATCACGTGTATGTTACTCCATATGTTTAATTTTCAAAATTAATTTCAAATTAATTTTCCTTCTGCATTCTTTTATATTTCTTAAGTAGTTAATCATAGAATAAAAAAGAAAAATAGCCAAGACAAATTGCTAATGCTACATTTTGAACCTTTTGCACGCAGAAGCAAAGAAAGGTAAACTTTTACCTTTCAGTCGTAAGTATATATGGATCTAAGAACCAAACAAATTGTGAGTATATATGGATCTAAGAACCAAACAACACATGTTGTGATCAATTTAAATACCAAAAGAGAGAAAAATTAACACTTGAAAAGAAAGATACTTCTAATTAAATTTAAAAAATCACGATATGGAGAACATGAATGTTTGTTTTTGCATATCCATATTTAAAAAAGATGTTACATATGACATATCATCCTCTCACCCCTCTGTGCACATTCCTTCCTCAGTCGTAGTCTTAATGGTGTGCCTGGTAATGGCTTTCCTTTCTTGCTTTCAATAAGAAGTCCAATGCCAAATGCAGCAATGCCAGAGTTGTTCCCAGAGCACGGGAGGAACACGCTAAACACTGCACATAAACAGAAGACAATACATCTAACTAACTACCTCCATGGAGCAGAGCCCTTCTTGAGAAGCTGATCAAGAAATTCCCTTTTACGGAACCCCAAGGTTTAATATTGTGTTCACAACAGCCCACTACTGGTCCCTATCCTGAGCCAGATCAATCCAACCCATACCCTCCAAACCTATTTCCCTAACATCCTAAGATAATATTAACCTCCTATCTACACCTAGGTCTTTTGAGTGGTCTTTTCCATTTAGGCTTTCCAACAAAAATGTTGAATGTATTTCTCATTTCCTCCCCTTAAAATATGCATCACACCCATCAAATCCTCCTTGATTTGATCATCCTAATAATATTAGCTAAAGAGTACAAATTATGGGGTTCCTTGTCATGCAATTTTCTCCAACCTCCTGTTACTTCATCTCCACGAGGCCAATACACACAACCGTGTCAGTACCATTCTGCATATTTAAAAAAACTGACAATAATAAAACCCTACTAAAATTGCTGTCAACAGAAATATCCTGACATTATTTTTTGTCAGACCATAAATCCTTGACATCTGAATCCCACACTGCATGAGTCGCAAATATGTTGGTTTCAGTCACTGTTGTCAAATGTATTAAAATTAATATCTGCTATAAAAATTAATCACACATTAGAGAAGTACAGATGAAGCACCTTTAGGTTTGCGTGGCACACGACCTCTGGTCTTGATAGAAATTACAGGTGGCTCCAAAATTGCTTCATCAAAAGACTGAAGCTTATCAAAATGATAGGTGTACTTTTTAACTCCTGACTTCCATGTAAAGTTGACACAGCCCACCTAAAACAGATGTGAATCATACATTCATAAGCATATAAACTTCATGTCACAAAGTGCTAAAAGAAACATAAATCTCAGGAAGAAGTAGATTATTAATTATGAAATAATTATTTTACCAGAACATTTTAATTGAAGTCGGTATCTCTTTCTTAAGACCTACCTTTCTTAAAAATTTACAAAGTTTTCATTTAGCAATCCTAAACAGCAATTGTGTACAAATTAACCCAGACTGGAAGTAGGATGGAAGGATGTCACATCATACATACATCTTTATTACATTCCATGGATCCATAAGATAGTCAGATGAAAATAGGATGTGGAAAAAGTCATAATAATAATACAATACATATTATAAAGTACAATTCATAATATTATATTAATTTCACATAATACAAACAAAGGGTTCACCTAAATAAATGATAAGTTATAAATAAATCTACCCATTACATACATAAGATAAATTATCACTTATTTGTATACAATAGATTTTCATCAACATAGTAAAAGGAGTGTGTAATTAAGTATCTTTTTAATGCTATATTAAATTGCTCCTTTTTATTCACAAGACTTGTGAGATTTGATGGTAGACTGTTGAAAATTTTGATCCCTGCATAATATGCACTCTTCTGAAAGAACGAGAGGTTGGCAACTGGTCTATGAGGCTGATTTTTATTCCTTGTGTTGACAGTGTGTACAGCAGAATTAGTTTGAAAAAGTTCTTGGTTATTTACAATAAAGTTCATTAATGAGAATATGTATTCACAAGGAAGAGCTAAGATCTCTAATCTCTTAAATAGACTACTACATGAAGTTTTAAGTTTGACACCAGCCATTAATCTAACAATTTTCTTTATGTAATTTATCCAACAAAATTTCATGATTTACCTATCAAAACCTTTTGTTAAATCACAGAAAATTCCTCCAACATGCGTTTTTTGGTTAACAGATTGTAGCACATTGTCTGTTAGGTTGAATTCTGCATCTTCCTGAAGTCAAATTCTTCTGGGACCAAAATGTTGTTAGTATGCATATGACTTAATCTATTGTACATAATCTTCTTAAGTACTTTAGAAAAAGTAGTTAACAGTAAAATTGGTATGTAATTTGTCATACTAGTTTTGCCACGTTTCTTGTACAGCAGTATTACTACTGATATTTTAAGGCAGTCCAGGAAAATGCCTATGTAATCAGTTAGAAATCATGTGACTTGTCACCTTTGTAGGCAAATATGGAATACTTCAATATTTTTCTACTGTGTAGAACTGAATTGTAAATTACTTACCTCTGAAGGAATGATTGGAAGATATTTTTCAAAGTTAGGATCTAATATGTATGGTAAAACATGTCCATCCACAATGGCTTGAATTTCCATGGAGATGCCTGAAAAGGGATACCACTTGTAACAACTTACACTGAGAATAACAATAGTTCGTACATTGCGCCATATTGTGGTTGTTAATTCATCCGCTGTTATTGGTTTACGTGATCTGAATATTAATACGATTGGTTGTTTCAGGAATAACATGGAAGTCTACTCACCACTGAACATTTTCACTTGTTGTTCGTCAATCCACAAGTACATATCTCCATTTTTTGGAGCACTTCTTACAAAAACTGTTACTAGCATCAACAGTATTACTTTCTGCATATCGATCCGTCTAGGTATGTAAACCATAAACATTCTGAAACAAAACAAACTAAGCGCTAAAATGCTACTTTGTGCGCATACTCGCCATGATTTTCCTCCACCTATGCAGAAGTTTTAAATCTGATACCACGGCAATAGTGGATGCCGAAGAAGGTATATCACTGAATTTTGCACCCTAATGGTTTCTTTCTCATTTAATTTATTCACTTAATGAAAGTTAAATTGTAACTGCAATGCACAATATACTGTCAGTAATGAAGCACAAAGAAAAACTTCTCAATGTTAATGCACCTCCTTGAAGTCAAATTAAATTCCGCATAGGTAATTGGAATGTAATGACCTCGAGTCATAGACCAAATATTGTTAAAACCTGTATAAGGGAGAAAATGCCCTGTTAGTTCATCTGTGGTTATTACTTACTGCATTACCTTAAACGATTTTACTCGTGAAACTTGGTAATGGCACTTGTTTGCAACACAGTCATATCAGTGCCACAAACTTATTTTTAAATTTTAAACAAACGTCACAAAAATAAAAATCTTTAATGTCGTACTAGTCATATTGTGGTCTCTAAGGTTGCCATGGGCAACCACCGAACATTCCCACAGATGACTATGCTATACACAGCAGCTAATGCTACTGAACAACGCAGCGTCATATATATTAGGTTCAGAAGTAAACACAACGACGATTTATGTGGGTTATCAGTAGCCCAGTCGGTAAAAAGGTTAACTACTCTTCACCATTCAAAATTTCTCCTCCCACTGAAACCACTAACCACAAAGACTTACCATAAATCATTTTGAAGAGAAACTCCATCTTCAGGATAAAAGTGAGTATGTGTACACATCTCACTTCACTTTTATCAGTCACATTAAGGATTCCCAGTAACATGGGAGTTCCTTTAAAAAAATTATAATGCTTGGGTAACAATTTTATGAAAATGTGTACGGTTTATGATCTGCACAAAGTGCATTCAGAATTTTAAAGTGTGACAGATCTTTAATAGGTATTCAACTTTTTGTAATGTCTTAGGAAAATCATGAATAAAGAAGGATGACAGGGAAAAGTATGGTCCATAAGCATTAAAGAACTTACAGATGGATACAGCAATGTTGATGGAAGCTACACTGGAAAATTATGTTACAAATTCAGTTGTTTTAATTTTTATGAGCACTTTATACGAGAGCAGAAATGCTATCTTGAGCATATCTGAATATGATGGCAAACATTTACCCTAGTCTTGTATGATCTATATCTTTCACAGGAACTAAATTCAATGAAGTCTTTAATGCATTGAATAACTTTTTAATACTACAGCTTTTGTACTATAACACAGAATAAAAAAGAAAAGCACTATGTGAATCTGTGTTTATGGGAATTATGATTTAATGGATAATTCAAGGTGTAAACTCCAGATCTGACAATACTGTGATCATTTATTCTTTTTTCTTAGGCTGTAAACATAAAAAATATATAGATACAAAAATGATTCATTTCTAATACAAGGGATGGGATCCTTAAGTCAAGTTGGTACTCTGTAAAAGCTACTACATAAGAGATTGAACATTAATATCGCACTAAACAAGTTAGCAACAGAGTTACTTGCTGGAGCAGTGCCGCAGATAAAGGAATGCATTATTATTCTCCATGTTGCCTAGCAACAGAAAGAAAAAGTAGATGCCAAACCTGCATCACAGATACACTCAAAATTCACTAATTATAATAAAACTTAAATTATAATCAATGTAAAAAATAGAATGATTTTTTCCATTAAGCACTGACTAATGACATCTATGGTGCTTTCTCAGAAAGTACCAAGTTTTGATTCTATTCCAGCATTGTTTGCAAAGTATCAAGGAATTTATCAAAACATGTGTACATCTTCTGCCGAAACCTCTCCAAAATATTTCAAAGATACCCATGAGCCTAATCTTCTATATTCTTCTGGATACCAAGCAGTGAACAAAATTAACAATCAGGTCCAGTGCAAATAAGGATAGCAAGTTTGTGGGGTGATGTGATGTGTAAGATTAACAATCAATAAAATATAATGTATCAGTAACTTGGGTAAATAAATTCATTTGATTTTCAAGTCAAGGATGTGAACTAATTCTAAGGGGTTGTAAAGTCAAAGTTTATAACTCTACCTATGTACTCCACTTACTGAAACACATAGCTATTATATAAGCAACACTCCAATAAGCTGTTTACAAATTACCTCACTGAACTTTTGTTTAAATGCATTTCCAAATGTTTTCATGCCATTAACCATTAACCTATATTGTACAGACATGAGATTCAAACATCCTCACATTTGGGCTGCCAGCAGGACTTCAACTCTTAAATTAAGGATTTAGTGGTATGTTAGTGACATAAGGCCAGCTGGATCACATGTACTGTCTTTTTATGTCATGACATATTGTCAAGAAATGACGAAGAATGACTGGCCTATATATTAGCAAACTGAACAAATTTTAAGAACACTGGACTTGTCCAACTCACATTTAAATTGTCCTACTAAAAATACTTTTAAGACCACTGTTTTACACCTTGAAAGTTAATGTAATTTGAAAAACAAACATGTAAATTATATACTGTCTATTAAACAATTTTGAGAATGAACTTTTATTATGTCCGTGCAAGAAGTTTCACAACATCAAAAGGAATTACTACTGATAAATAAGGAATAAAGTACCTAAGACTTTATACCTTTCCTCAAAATATGTGTATGTTTTGAGAAATGTGATGATAACAGTGAGGTTCTGCAGCGGAAAGAGGGCACTGGCTCTAACGTCATTTAAGCATATTCATACACAGCTGAATACCAAAAGAACAAAGTATTACCTGAAAAAGAAGTTATATATTTACAGCCCAAAACACAAAGTCAAAACTGTATGTAATGTGCAGAAAGTATGCCTTGCTACCAATTCAATGGGCCACATGGATATACAATGATTTCATAAGAGTCTGGTATGGAGAATTAAATAATATTCCTGAGAAATGCAAAATGTGATACATGAAAATGCATAAGAAATGCACAATATACATTTTGTTCCACAAAATCTTAGCTGTGCAAGTTTTTTTTTATATGTTCCAAATTTAAATTACACAAACAAACTCTATTTTATGTGCAGTTAATAAGAAAAATTTTTCAGCTATTACACCATTTTTAAAAAAATAACACTGCAATCTCAAAATTAGCTGCAAGCATACAAAAATACAAGACAATAAAAAAAATACAGGCATCTTTCACAGACCTTTGTACTTCTAAACCAATCTTATACTCAATACCACATGAAGTAAGACAATATAATTCGAGACATTACTGTGCACTTTTTAGAAAGACTGCTTTTACAGATACAATAATAAACTGGTGCACAACGTACAATTATGCCTTACCCATGTAGTACAACAATGCCTTATCTAAGGCACTTGTGCTAAGAAAATTATAATAGAAATGTGTAATTAAATAACACAAAACATAAAAAAGCATTTTACCATTACATGGTTTACCTTTACCAAAATTGCTTAAGAAAGATTGGGGAGTGCATAAGATTACATAATATACTTAGTGATCCATCATAAAATGTAAATTTGTAACCAATTAAAATTGTAGACCTGTATTTAATTAACATCTAGTGTTAAATTACCAATGCTATAGATCATGGAAATGTTTTAAACAATGCTTTGTTTTAAATCTAATGCACTGGATAAAATAAAATAAGTAGAAATTGAAAATAATTATAAATATTACCCTAAAATGCTACATGTCATGTTTCCTTAATGGTACCATTACTCAACAATTAACGATTCCTGATCAACAGCCAAAAATATTTTGAATGAGATTCAAGCACGAGATGGTTTGCCAACTGCCTGTTATATCATACAACACACTGAAAACCAATGTAACAGCATGCTCCGAGCTTAAAACAACTGATTACATAAATACGCAGCAGCAAGCAGGGACTACAAACACCCCTCAGTGGAGTACATCAGCAACAAACAGAGGATTTAGGAACAGACTCGGCACAGAAGAACCTGCCTACACATTCATAATAACTACAAATGTACTAATCACAAAGTTTTTTTTATTTTTCTTACACTTCTGTTCCACACACTTGCGTCCTCATTTAACTGATCATGAACAACCTGTAACAAGGCAAGAGGTGTATTCTACATATATCCGAATTTATCATACGAGTTGAAATCATGACTGTGAATCGTTACTGTACTTAATGGCTTGACAGACAATCGTGCTAGCCACCAAACACAAATTTACTTTTGCCATTTATCTACACATTTCAAATTTCTTATGTACAATGAGTTTTACGACTTTTTCGTACAGCACAATCTTGCAAGGTTTCTGAATTATGCAAGGTCTGTAAAATCGTTACATAAAAATATCTTTTCTCTCAACTTGACACTATCAAGGGAGTCCGCAGTCCTTTCGATCCTAAAACGTTAACAAGCGATACAAGTAAGGCATAAAAAGATCTAAAGCAGCCAACATCAAAGAAATGCACATTAAAAAACTATTGGCCACATTTCTTTGAAAAAATATTAAACATTAGCATGATATATAGCATTCCTATCCTTCCTCCCTGCCCACTCACACAACTTGCTTTTTTTTCTCATATACAGATTATTATATTTTACTGTACAATAACAAGAAAAAATTATATTTTTATAATATAATAGAGCAGGGGGGGGGACTGTGCAGGATGTGTGAGGCTTACAAAAAACGTCATCGTATATATATTTTGTCTAACGCATCAACTACAATATCCTACATTCTAATGACTAATTCCTACTGTGCTTTTAATATGTGAAGAGTGTGACAATGGAATACTTTAGTTAGAAGCATTTTTAAACATCACCCAAAATTCTCGATAGTTGAAAATGTTCATGCCCCCACAAAAAAGTTTGTAACGTACGCATCACAAAAGCCATTAACCATATACCATGTTTTCACTTTAATATTAAGCACCACCAGTCTTTCCTGTATGCGCTTATCACGCACCAAGAAAAGTCACACCAACGCTTATGTATACATTTCCAGCCACTGAGAAATACACAACTGTGTTTTCCACTTCCAATACTAACTCTACAATATTGGTCCTGCATGATCATGTTATGTGCTCGTACCTCTCCAGCTAACAAAATTCTTGTTACTGTGCAATCCAAGGGAAATGTAAAAAAAAGAAGCAATTAATTAAAAAAGCATGACAACTGCTAACAATGTCAGACAAGATAAAAAGTACAGCCACTTCATCTAAGCCACCACAATAAATGCTACTACATTAAAAGAACTATTAATGTTTTGATTGGTACCCAGCCTAGTGTAAAAATGTTGCACAGTCAAAGGTAAATAAATGTTGTTTAATACACCATCACAGGTATGTAAAGGGTCCTGTAACATTTATCCGATACAGCCAACAGGACAAAATGAAAAACAATGACCATATCTTAACATGTGCTATAGGGTATTTATATGGCCAATTACTGACCAATAAAGTTGGTTGCAGAAACAATTTTCAACAAAATACCAAATGCCAATCCTTATTTCTTCAGTATCTTTTTTCCTATCATCAATTCCATTTTATACAGGTCAACAATTCTTCTGTATGTTTCAATAATAATAATAATAAATCTAATGATACTGGATGCCAAGCAACAAGCAGTGTTACACACAACACATCAAAACTGAAAATTTGTTGTTTACAAAAACCTTTAAGTGGATACTACAGCTAAGTATTAGCATTGCAGACTGTCATAAGCACTGTATTGCAGAAGCAGTCAGTTTACTACCTAAACAGAGTGAACACCAACTAAAATTTTTTGGGCACTTCACATTTCTGTTAGGACCACAAAACTTTTATAGACACAAACAAATTTATACACCATTCTAAAAAAAAGGCATACATACATTTTATACCGAAAAAGTTATGACACAAGTAATTACAGTTCCTGAACAGCAAACTTACAAAACACGGCACAAGACTAAATGAACACCTGGTACCTCCATTTGTCATCACACTGACACAAATTGCGCGCACGACTTGGGAAAACGCCTGAAACAAATGAAAGACTCTGAGCAAGTAGGGCTTCTGTACTATGATTGTTGTCTTACATTCTTTCAGTGCACACTGAAATATAAGCCACACAATGGATCAAGATGATATGCAGAATGTACTTAAATAATGCAAGCCAACTGCATTATTTTACAGAAAGGATGCAGTACTGTCCAAGACTGGAGGGAAATAAAAATTACAACCTCAAAAGACAAAATGGGCTTCTGTGACTCATAAAGGTCACACAGAACATGCACCATGTATTGATATATATATCACAAAACACACTACATGAAAATAAAATCTTCCTGCAGTGCTGAGAAGGAGTAATTTGATCATGTGTCTTACATATTTCATGTGGGAATCTGTACTTGAGAAACAGATGTTGAGATTACATAAATGTGGAAATGTTAAGCGTAAAGAAAAATTATATTACTGACAACAAAGCAAGAATATTACCATGTTTGATACAACAGGTAAGATAAGATGGTCACCTGTAAGATGCTTTTACCTATAAATTACAGTCAAAGGTACACGGAGGCCCAACAAATTTTCCAAAGAGGTCCTGTTACAATTTGGAATACCCATTTCTTAAGAAGTCATAATTTGATAACGCTTTCATTATCAAAGTTGAAAGGGGAGAGGAAATGGCTTTAGACAGCTGCAATTCCTATACTTACATGTCATTTGATGAAGCCAAGTAGTGAAACGGATGAACGAGAATGATTGAAGGAAACATTTCATCTACGGTCAGTACTTAACTGAGAAGTATTTGGCACTCGTTGCAATACTGCCATATCGAAGAAAATGCCTATCTATCAAGTACAAAAGGAAAAGAAGCCAACTACAAGAATGATATATCAAAAACAGGAGCCGAGATGGAAACCTAGTGTAACAACACAAAGAGGACAGAGACAAGACAGGGAGGTGTATAACACGCTATTCACATCACATTTTATTCCTGGAGAAAGCTAAATACTCCCTCCATGAAATCCAGTAACTGAACAAAACACTCGTCTCTCTCTATGGTTTATGCCCTCAAAGATCCCTGATGTTGTTCCGGTCTCCATCTTTTCCCTTATTAATTGGTGTCTACCATTATCTATATAAGTCCTGGCAGTACCCATTTCTTGGCAATGCAAAGTTTTGTTTCTCTAATAATAAATACTAATGTATACATCATCGATTCATTTGTGCCCTGTTGCATGGCACCCTTTCAGTGGCGGCATCTTGTGGGAAAGTGTTTCTGTTCAACTTCCCTGCATTGACTCTGCAGTCAGTCCATTGTTCGTTCGGTCAGTCAATAATGAGTTCCGCTACACATAGGTGGCAATAGCTGATGGTGACTGCTGTTCTTCAGGTCTGCGTTTATTCCCAGGACCATACTGTCCGATGAATGAGCCATCCTCCGTAAAACGACCTGAGAATAGAATGCATCAATTAAACAATGAAAACTATAGCAATTCTGGATGGCATAGTTTAGCATTCACCTAGTTTCAATGTTACCCAAGAGTAAAACAATTTGAGCCAGATTAATCTGTGGGAGAGAAAGAAGGACTCTGAGGACAGCAATGCAGAAGGAAGGGAAAACAACATACAGGGAGAGGCATAACCACTACATTTGCCACAGCCTGTCTCTAATTCCTGAACTGCGAACATAATTAAAATGTATTATATACAAAACCAAACTTCTTGTAGGTTCTTCTGGAGTTGGCAGCAATGGCGCATCAGAGAGCTAATGGCACAGTGACTTCTTGAGAGAAGCAATGCCCCACTGACATCAGAGGAGGGGGGATTTTAAGGCATCTAAACTACTAGGCAATGATAAGAGCATAGTGATAATGCAGAAACTACGTTCCTGGAAGAATGAGACAGGCAGACTACTGTAGGTTCATTTTTCATGTTCTATATCATGGCAGACTTACTTGGAGCAGTACCTTCATGACTTGAACTCTTCATTAAATTGAACTTGTAATACATTACTGATGCCATGTGTGAACACTTTCATACATTTAAACAGGATATTTTTTACTTAGTTTTTCTGTAGATGGTACAAGACTACTGATTAACAACATACCTACATAATATGTCACTGACCACTGCATCGTCCACTACACAAGAGTGGCAAAGCCCCCTGAGCCTGTTTCTCCTTGCTTCTTCTGTTGGCGGCCATACTGACCAATAAATGAACCATCTTCATTCATGCCCTCTGTACAAGTGCAACACCAATAGGTCAACAGAAATTGAAACCAAACAAAAAAAGTTAAATTATAAACAGAATTATCATGACATTTAAAACATTCATGAACTAAACAACAACAAATAAAAACAAGTAAAGTTTCACATGCATGAAAACAATGTGTTCTTGAAAAAAAAATAACAGGAGACCAGGCTTTACATCTTCTGTACATTTTTTACATCTGAATCCTGTGCGTACTTTTGCATCTGCAATAATTTAAGACAACTTACACAATTTTAGACTTCAACGGAGTATATGATATACATAAACAGTTATCTCCAAGATATATATTACCCTACAAGCATATTTTTGTGTACTTGACTACTCTCTTTGCACTTTCTACAGGGAATTTCTCTGTTGAGAAGAAAATGCAACCTGCCACAGCCAACTCACTCTGCAAGCAGCCGATTGCAACTTGCAGCAAAAATGGCTAGTGCAAAATGCCAACCAGTGACAACAAAGTTACTTCTCATCATCGAAAGAAAGCCTTTCCTTCAAGCCTATGGCTGCTGTTGCGTTCATAAACACAAGCATAGCAAAACACGGGGGAAATACAAAATGGAGTCAAAGACTGCAAAGGAGTAAAAGCAAACAACTGATCTCAATTTAATCTTATTTGTCCAACTGTTAAGTGGGATCTTAAGTGTGTTTTCCTCTGAGTGAAACTGTGCATGTAAATGCAATGTAAAATCCAATTTCTAGTGCACAGTAACAAATTAACATGTTCATACAAGTACACAAAAGTAATTTGGAGAAAATCATCTTATGGCTCATGGACAGATATACAGAGCAATTAACGGCTCAATATTAAGAATACTGTTTCTTTAAATACTCTGTCCAAAAAATTGGTTCATAAGAAATGTTTCGCACATTAGCATTAATTTCAGTTCATAATACAACATAAATCTTTCACTCCTATTACAATTTTTAACAGACTTATTAAATTAAATTAAAAACTTAAAAGGCAATACATAAACTGGGCCTTGGTCTCAGACAGTAATGGAAAAAAATGAACAAAGAATGAAATGGAGCCCATGTTACTGACCTGTGTCTCCATCGCCATATTCTGCCATGGAGTCTGTGTCACTCTCTGGGGCTGCTTTGGGATCACTACTCATTGACCCTCGACCATGGGATTTATTATCTAGCCTGAAACAATCATGATTCTAAATATACATTTACAAATGTATCTACGCAACAAAACACCACTACCGAAACCACAGCAACACGATCTGTGGTACAAGTTTGAAGCCATGTGAATGCAACAGACGCGACAATATGCCACACCAAAGTAACATGACAGGGATGGCATAACTCTTCAGTTAGTAACACGTGAAGCATATAAAAACAAAAATAAAATACACTTTATTACCATAAAATATGTCATTTTTATGCATAGGTTCAAGTATACAGTGACATGACAGATCATTTTTGTAAATCATTCATAAAAGAATTTTACTTCAAAGTTTGGAAAAAAATATGCCTCCATCATGAAACAGTAACTGGGACCTTAAATCTATTACATTCCAACAACAAAATACATCAACACAACAAACAAAGTTTAATTAACGGAAACATATTTACGGTTGTGAATATTCATGAAATCCTGGCTCTTCTGGGTAGTCTGTGCGTCCGTGTGCAGCCTCTCGTTCGTGAACAGCGTACTTTCCGCCACGGTTACGCTTGATGATGCACACGATTATCAACACAAGCAACAAGAATGCAATGGCTAGCATCATTCCTATGAACCACCCTGCTGTAGCAACATTCTCCTTTGGCTTTATAATGATGCTATCTGCTTGCAAGAACACAACATGATTATTACTTCTGTATCAAACAAACATTTTTAATGTGTAATCAACCATTTCCCAATTTCAGAAATTCAGACCATTTACCTAATAAACCTTGCACAAGAAAATCAAGATTCTGTTTAAACTTACCCATGCTTGAGATCTCAACTTCTTCCACTTCACTCTCCGTCATATGTTCGCCATCAACTGCTACGACACTGAATTCATACATCTCACCGGGCATCAGTCCTCGTACAATAATGTAGTCTTCATTCATCTCGGGACCAGTCTCCTGAAAAATGGTCTCACCCTTCTTCCTGAAAATGAAATAACAATGACCAACCTTTCGAGTAACCATGACCACTATACTTGTCCTGAATATCTCTGATTATGGACTGCATTTACATTTATTTTCTTTCAAAGGAAAAATCTTTATGAAAATACAATTGTAATTGTAAAAGCAATGTAAAGTTACATAACTGTTTTGAAACCATCTGTTCCAGACCTCCTGATTTAATATAATTCTAACTTCATGAAACATGTCATAAAACAATCATTTTCCTAGGAACTCATTTGTGACTTACCTGTACTTAACAAAGAAGTGGGAGCCCAAAACTCCATCGATGTACGGAAGCCAAACAACCTTGATTCTTGCATAACCTTCTTCCGAAGACAACTTCGTCCATGTGAACTTGGGTTTGTCAGGAATCGCAGCAGATGCTCGTGACCGTGTTCGCTGTTCAATGAAATAAGCCTCCCCTTCTCCTGCACTTGTTGTGGCCTTTATGTGAAGCCTGTACTTGGTACCTGGTTCAAGCCCTGCCAGCTTTGCACGTGTCTGATTAGGGTCTGAAATATGCGGCTCTCTCTCAAGCATAGGTCCAACTTTGGTCCCCTTGACAGTCTGGTAGTAAATCTTGTAGCCTGTGAGAATGCCATTCGGCTGTTCTGGACGCTTCCATATCAGATACAGGGCTGATGACCCCAGTGGAAATGCTTCAAAGAACTGCACAGTACCAGGAACTGATGAACAAGAGAAACAAATCAGTATATGAGCTTGACACTGTTCAATAGAATTTTGTATTCTTTTATTTAAATTTATATGGAGGACAGTCTTGCAAACGTCATGCAGCAGAATGCCATGCTGTAATGTGATGTAGTTCTTCTAAAACTGAATCAGTGCATTACTTTATACAGAGAGTCATATTAAACACACTTTAAAAATAAGAAACAAAATTCAAAGACTTGACAGGAAACAAAAGCTGTTCCAATTTTGTATCAAATTAGGGATTTGTGTCCGTCTACTTTGTTTGTCGAAGTTATTAAGAAAAACGTTGAAATATTTTTCTAAACCATTTATCTATTATTGACAGGAATAATTTCAGATATTTAATGCATATACACTTACCTGAAGAATGGTGTCAACTGCAGAGAAGTGTAATCACAGGACATGCAAGTGTCAGAAGCTTAGTACTTCACCTTCAATTTAACTCTTAATTTGAATATTCAGCAAATAAAGTAGGTGTATTATTAAGCAATGTCTGAACATTTCGAATATTCAGTAAATAAAGTAGATGTATTATTAAGCAATGTCTGAACATTTCCTCAACATATAAATCCCAGACACTAAAAATATATAGTATCATGAAGCACAACTGTCTTCGAATACTGTTTTCAAGTTGATATCATAAGTTGTTTCAACAATGAAACAGGAGTCCCTAACAATATCCTGTAGCATGCTACGTTTCTCTTCTAAGGAAATGCTTTTTCTTTCGTGTTGCTATCATGCCCTATCGAAGACACTGATTTAAATAAAATAAATACAATTCATGCAGCAGACTCAGCTAACAGATATTATAATAATAATGATAATGATGATGAAAAACAAAAAAAGCAACCACACACCGAAAGTTAAAGTGATGCTTGCAAGATGGTGCCTTACCAGTCAGAGTAGACTGTGGTTGAAACAAAAAAGTTTAACTCACATCATAAAAAAATCCATGAAATTAAAATGAGGAGACAAAAATCACAGACATGGTGAAAAAATACATGGGACTTGCAAAAAAAAAATCATGTAAATTAAAGGAAAACACATTCTGGGGATGTAAACTGTCCAAATACTTACCACCTTCAGGCGTGTCAAAGCTTAGGGTTTCACTGGGTGGTCCGTTATACCTGCTGTTGTACACAAGTACTCGTGCAAAGTTCTTGCTGTGAGGTATGAACTTGGTAACCATCGTGTTTGTTTTTTCTCCTTTAACGTCAATTTCACGTAAACCATCTTCTCCATCCTTTTCTGTCCAGATTTGAATCTGATAAAGCAAAATAACAACATGCATTACTGCTCTAAGACCACACTTCAAAACAAGTGTTGAAAAGGAATAGTTTTAATTTTCCCCAGTGCTCTTCATGACGCAGCCTCAGTATTGGGTCAGGCTCTATTTGTTCATATTTTGCTTAGACAGATACACAATATACCAAGTAGTATTATGCTAATGTAAACAAAAATCCATGTCAATTGTGGAACAATCAACTACAGCATACTTACGCTTATTTATAAAATAAAATGTCATCAAAATATGACCAGCATACTTCAAACCATTATTGAATAATGGCTGAAGTCTATGGACAAGTTCAAAATAGTATAAGTAAATACAATTCAATCAATAACATTGCAAAAATGTGCTTAGAACATATTAAAAATTAAATCCGTGGCATAACAGCTCCAGAGAGCCAAAGACGACTAGCTTGACTGCTGGCCTCACGTTCACATGCCTAAGCAGAGGTGAACGATCATATAACCAGATATAGGGTGACGTGTGGTCAGCACGACAAACCCCCAGCCATTCCTAGCTTTCCTGACCGGATTACGCTACCCATTGTAGCTCCTCAATTTCCTCACGATGCTGGGTTGGCACAGTCCCCATACACTGATCGAAAGCTCATGAGAAAATTTCTTCTCCCCCGAGACTCGAACCAGCTTGCCGGTCAGAAGCATGATGCCTCAGACCACGTGGCTACAGCATGGGACTGCTTAGAACATATGTACACTCCAAATCTAAGTATATATCCAATTCAAACGATCTTCATAAGAGGATACAGAACATATCCTGAAAATGTACGGTAGAACTGCATATATAAATTTACCTTATACCCTTTAAAATGACCACGAACAGTTTCTGCAGGGACAGGATTCCAGCTGAGCAGAGCAGTTGTACTGTCCTTCACTTGGACAAGTGTGAAGTTGTACGGTGCCTGGGTTGGAACTGCAAAGCAGGAAACATTATGCAGGAGATATCTGGACGCAAGTAACATGAAACTAAAGCACACTATAATTTAGTACTGCGGAGTACACGCTAAAAAATGCATGTCACACTAAGCGTCTAGTAAGGGCCATTTGAAAAATTGATGACTGTTCTGGAGGCCATCACAAACCCGCGGAAAACCATAACTGCCTACTTTAATTAATTCCAACCTTAAGCTTAATAGCATATATTTTTCACTCCTCCATTTTCCCACACGCATACAAGATGTGAATTTCACCGAACATATTTTGAATTTAACTGAAATATAAAAGACTGGTTAACAAGCAGCTATTTGATATGCATATGAAACTTTCACACAACTTCACAGCACATAAATATTACATCAAAAGTACTGCAGAGTTAAACATTTTCCATTAACCACAGTGAAAAGTAGGAAGAATGTAGATTGTCAACTTCTGGATTATTATTCCATGCAGTCCTGTCAATGGTTTCCAACATTTTAGGGGAACCTACAACCATCCATCTGTACACATCAGAAGAACAGAAGACCACAATCCAAAAAGTCTCTTACTTCTATTGCTCTTTATTCATACCATTGTTTTCCAGAACACATAACTTGATCCAAACCACACTCAAACCTACATTACAAGCTCTAACTATAAAAGTCACTATAATACGGGCTACAACAGCAGAGATACTGGACTCACCATCTTCCCCTGAGTATCCTATAACTTCCTTTGGAGCAACGTTGGCTTCTCCCTTCTCATTCATAGCTACGACCTTGATGCGATACTGCTGGAATGTTGGCTGGTCCGGGACAATCAGTTTATTCTCCTCCCAATTCACAATGTCATTCGCGACCCATTGCTCACCAGGTATGTCTCGCCTCCAGTAAACTCGATACATGAACCGAGGAGCATTATGTTCAATCTCGGGCATGGGCTAAAGCATTGAACATGTGACATTAATGACGCCTCTGCCACTACAGAATCCTTCAAATTAATTATGCAGACATAAATCAAGGTTTAACATTATAGAAAAGCTGCGCCTCTTACCGTCCAGCTGATGACAATATTGTTTGGTTCGGTGCCTTTGCCTTCAACATTATCCGGGTTTTTGTAAGGCACATCTGCCTGGGTCGTACAGATGGTAGAATGCTGTGAAGGACTGGAGGGCCCAATTTTGTTCCAGGCTATTACTCGAAAAGTGTAATTCGCCCACGGACTCATTGCGACCTAAGACAGAATATGAAGAACCCGAATACATAGATATGACCAGAGGCCAAGAAATGTTGGCGTAATTCACTAGCCAAGTAAAATGTCTCTCTTTCGGTACATTTCTTATTATAAAGAATAACATTCTTTTACTTATAAGCTATATGTAGAACTAAAAACTATTTACTTAAATTGAATATTGAAAATGAGGGAGGGCTTACAAAGCAAGCACCTGTATTTCTAAGGATTCTTATGCTGGTATATGGCTACTTATCTTCTCAACTATCTAGGATGTATATTTTTAACTTCTCAGAGATATCCTTCCAACATAATGAGTAGATATAAACCCACACACAAATTCACCTCAGACAGCAAGATGTGAAAGAATAGCTGGTGTCCTACATAGGACAGATAACATTAAAATTAAATATGAACTATATGCTCGGTATTTAAATACACAAATACGAATTAAAATCTCACAGTGTATGTCATATCTGTAGCCGGAACAGAGTCAAATGCTATTTCCCATGTATCTGGCGTGAAGCTTGTGTTAAACTGTATTGTGTAACGCAGGATAGGTGCACGATTATCACCCATTGGCTCCCAATGGATTGATGCATCACGCTTGTTACACTTAACATCCTTCAGGTTTGGAGAATTCGGTACATCTGTTGGGAAAGAAGAAAAAACTTCATACGAACATTACTAGATAAACTCCACTATGCTTGGTAAAGAGGTTATTATTTTTTACGAGGTTATGTACAGTTATGTCATGTGGACCTTTAATGTACGAAAATAACAAACTGTAAAAATCTTAAACCAACTGTAAAGAGAAAATATTCTGATACAAGAGAAACAAACAAATCAGTGAATGTGATAAATTACATACCAAGGTACTCTGCGACTTATAGGCCTACTTAATTTCGGCAGAGGTGCCTGTTACAAGGTGCATGCGCCTGAAAG